TTTTAATTGTTCAATAGATAAGTAATTTGCCAATTTTGTGGTTCTGTTTAGGGCCGAATAACATTGGTGTTTGGTTTGGAGGTCAAATTCGTTTTTTAATTTTTCATCATAATTTTACTTTAGATTTTTGTCAATTTCTTTATGAATGTTGGGGTTGTGGTTGGAGTCAGACTCAGCTTGAGTTTCATTCATTAGTTTAAGCACAAGTGTATTTAGAGGATGAGACACTGTGGGAGTTTCATTGGCAAGAAGGGCTTTATATTGAATAGATTCAGTGTCAGATGCCAAAATTGAACAGCTCTTTTTTTGTATTTCAATGTGTAAGGGGTATAAACCCAGTTCAGCCATGCAGGCATTGCTAGAAGTGCCTTTGTTTACCCTTAGAATGTTTTTTGCCACATTTTCGTCTCTACTGCGTCACTTGTGGACACGCGTTCACGACAGTATCATGGCTCGCGTCATGGTACTGTCGTGGACGCGCGTCCAAAGTGACGCAGTAGAGACGAAAATGTGGAATAAAGTCGTTATTTTTGTTTTCTTTGCGCAAAAAAGTATTCTCGTAGCTTCGTAACTTTGGAGTTGAATCACTGATGTCACACGGACTACTTTGTCGATCATCTTGGTACTTTTCTGGACCTTGAATGTGGTAGTTACCTTGCTGTCTATGGGAGGGTCAGAGAGCCCTCAGATTTCATCAAAAATATCTTAAATTGTGTTCCGAAGATGAACGAAGGTCTTACGGGTTTCGAACAACATGAGGGTGAGTAATTAATGACAGAATTTTCATTTTTGGTGAACTAACCCTTTAATACAAAATTTCACTCCTGTACAGTAGAATTGGTTTAATGATTGTGTGATATAATTTGATCCATGTTTTAATTGGTAATTTTAATCTCTCTCTCTCTCTCTCTCTTTGGCCTTACCATCAGAAGAAGAAGAAGAACCTGTGGTTCTCCCCTTAAATGAAACATACTAAACCATGTTTCATATAAATAAGCCACAACAGAAACTGGGAACAAATACACTGATAATATCACTTACGTTATGTATTGAAATTAAGTTTTAATCCTAGCAATCAAGACAGAACTGACACTGCTTTCTTGTTATTATTCAGTAGAGGGGTCAGATGTGATGTTTATGTGTGGCATCTACACATAGTTCAGTTATGCCATCTAGCGGAGAAAAGCTATTATTCACACAATTGGCTGGTTATTGACCAAATTTTATAGATATAGCTTGGTATTGATCTACTTATTTGTTTATTTATTTATTTATTATCTATTCGTTATTTCATTCAGTATAAAGTGTAGTGTAAAAATGACAGCTCTGTGTAAATTATTTTAATTCAAATTTTGCCTTTATAGCCTACATGTTTTCATTATAATTGAGTAGATCTATAAACACAAGATATCTGTTAGTTTCTGCTTAAAAAGGTCATGCATTTGGTATTTCACTGTGTTATTATTAGACTACAATAATGTTAATAAAGTTACTAAGGTCATATATATGCTCTCTCTGATCTCTGATCTCTGATCAAGATTTTTAATGCTCTTATGCTCACCAAGGCTGCATTTATTTGATCAAAAATACAGAAAAAAAACAGTAATATTGTTAAATATTATATTTTAACATTTTTATTATTTATTTTATTATATTATATTTTAATATTTTAATATTACTCCCAGTCTTCAGTGTCACATTGTGTCTCATTCAAGATTTTCAGGATTCTTTGATGGAAAAAAAACTTTAAAAGAACAACATATTCAATATAGAAATCTTTCATAACAATATACACTATACTGTTAAAAAATTAGGGTCTTTCTTTTAAAAAAAATTTATATTTGTTAGAATAGAAATGTTCGTTATTGTTAGAAAATAATTGTATTTTGAATAAATGCTGTTTTTAACTTTTTATTCATCAAAGAATCTATCACAGGTTCCAATCAATCAATCAATCAATCAATCAATCAATCAGTTTCCAACATTGATAATAAATCAGCATATTACAATGATTTCTGAAGGTTCATGTGACACTTAAATCTGGAGAAATGGCTGATGAAAATTCAGCTTTGCATCACAGGAATAAATAGTATTTTAAAGTATATTAAAATAGAAAATATTTGTTTTAAATTGTAATAATATTTCACAATATTATTTCTGTATTTTTGATCAAAAAGATGCAGCCTTGGTGAGCATAATAGACTTATTTAAAAAAGATTTACATTTACTGATTCCAAACCTTTGAACGGCAGTGTGTGTCCATTTTTTCAATATTCCTAAATAATAAAATTGATTTCTTTCAAGATTATTTATTGCAACATGATGATGAAACACTTTTTATTAATTGACAACAGTATATAGTTTGCTTGTGCTATCACAAATGTAGTTACACAGGACAATCAAAATCAATCAATGCAACGTCAGATATGAATCTCTATGCAGAAACTCTAGGTAAGAGCAAAAATGGAGTTAACATGGCAACAGCTGTATTTTTATCCTTGATCAAAAGAAAAATCATTTGCCATCTCCCAATACCCATATGTGGCCGGCATTGTGCTGATTAGAGAACAATTACAGCTTAAAGGGGTCATATGACGTTGCTAAAAATAACATTATTTGGTGTAATGAAATGTGTTTATGCGGTTTAAGGTAAAAAAAAACACATTATTTTCCACATACTGTACATTATTGTTTCTCCTCTATGCCCCGCCTTTCTGAAACGCGTCGAACCAAACAAAGTAGTTTCGCATTCACAACGAAACACAGCATCACACACGGCGGCCTTGAGTGGGCGGAGGCCTGCGGGCTAGAGTGAGCAGCGGCCGGGCTAGAGTGAGCGGCTTGCCGGCGGATTCGACGAAGGAGCTTGCGGCAACCACATGTGACGACCCCGGGCTGGACTCTGCTTCGTCCACGGTGAAAGATGATCCGGCGATCCACAGCGCAAAGTTGATGTATTTCCTCAGCGACCAGCACGGATCAGCTCCAGGCATGACGAAGCGGATATCGTCCTCTTTTGGAAGGCCAAACAAAGTAGTTTTGCTTTCACAACAAAACACAGCGTCTTCACGACATGGCGGCAGCAACAATACTACAGTTTACTATAATACTACAGTAACAAGTTACGCCTTCGTTCTTTGCGTGAACATTTGGCCGGTGTTATGCAAATCTTCCCACATCGTGACGTAGACGTGGGGGCGTGTTAGAACGAGCCGTTTTAGGTAGTCATGATTGACTCTTTAACTTTTATAAAGAATATCTCTTTGGATTTGAGACTTTAGTCTTTGCAACTTTACAGATCTTCTTTATGCACCAAGAGCTTGTAACACTTCAAAGAGAAAGGAAAAATTTAAATCGCATCATATGACCCCTTTAACTGAATTTCTATGTCTCTGCTATGACTGTTTAAATAGCAAGCGAGAGATGATCAGGTCCTTCGTCTCTGCATTAAGTTTCATCTGACTTGTCCATTTGCTGATTTTTGGTGCTTTTATTATGATGACATGCTAAGTGAATCAGGAACTGCAACATTAATGGAACAGATTTTTTCTTAATCTTTCAAAAGATTACATTTGTCACAAGTTTACAATGCTGAATGAAATATTTTCCCTATTGCCATGTAAATTAAACAAAGCATTTGTTTTCCTTAGCTGACAATTCTTTGTTAACCAAACAGAGCTAGTGTTACTTCCTGTTACTAACACCTCTAAGCCAACAAGATCTCACCATACAGTTTGCTGATAATTACTCTGTAAATTTGTGAATGTTTCTCTAGAGCAGAAAACCGTCTGAAAAACAGTCAGCTTACATGCGTAATATTGTTTCATTGTCATTGTAAAGTTAGCTATATATCAAAGTTAGTGGGGTCACAGCAATTCTTGATAATAGCAACAGAAGAAAAAAAATAGTCCTGGTCTATCATCATCATTTATTTCAGGGAAACCAGTTTTGAGGAAACTGAATTCCAGTTGCAAAGAGCCTGCACTGTGTTTTCTGTTTGTGGTCTTAAAATACCTTTCTTTCTTTCTTTCTTTTTAGGTTTATGGCATGACATCACTGACTGATTGTGACATCACTGAATTTATTAAATGCATAAGCTATAAAGTTATCTATCTCTTCTCAAATCAGACTGTGTGAGATATTATATGCTATTATTATTTTAATTTGCAAATCATGCTTATTTTATCAAGATATGATAATAACATACTGAGGTTAATGCATTTGGAGTTTTATCACAAGACTTCTACAAACTATTTCAAAGGTCTATATCATATAATGTGTGATGCAAACCAACTGAACATAACACACTATATGATCCATAGTGTATAAGTGATAGTGGGCCATTTCCTGTATCAGTTCATTCTTTTATCCACTGTTTGGCACAATCAACAGCATGCAAATCTTTAGTCTATGTGTTGGCACGACAGTATATAAGATTCTCTTCTTATCTCACCTTTCATATAACGACAAATCTCTAAAGCGGGATTTTGCAAATTTAGGTGCATTGACTACTTTAATCTTGACTGTTGTGTTATACAATAAGCCCATGCATTTTAATTCTTGATTTGATAAAGTTGTAGTAAAATGACCATGGTTACTAAACGGATAGGATAGTATTTTGAGTTAGGGTGTTTCCTTAATACAGCCTCAAACATGCAAAGAAACCCTAAATAGAAATTACGGATCCTACTATTGTTCAGGGATTGGCACATGAATATTAAATAGAATATGCTCGCGTTCGTTCCTGGGTGTTCAGTCACGCAGTCAAATTAATATTAATAAGCCCAGTTAATTCGCCAGTTGACAGGCCATCACGTAGCGACGTCTGCCTTTCGCAGACAGTGCTAGAGGCGGAACGTCACGTTGCGTTGCGTAAATAATAGTCATGAGCCAAGCATTCGCCGTAGTAGGATTTGTAAATTCGTATTCGAGACTGGCAGATTCACTTCCAGGTGCTAGGAGACGCGCGGTCCACTCACAATTCAACACGAACTGCCTTCAGCCTCATAAATGCGCATGCGCAGCAGCGCTGTCCTCTCTGTTTCCTGCACACACTGCCACGTTATTAGCGGCAGACACAACATTCAAGCGATACTTCAGACTGTTAAAGGTGAAAGACGACCCGCCGGGCTAACAGTCTCCCCGGTTTCCATCACTGTTTTAGCAATAGTTGACTCGTTTGGAGGTGATCCGAGATGCTGAAGTTGTTGATTGTGTGCGCACTGGCCGCTATTAGCGCGGCTGATATCCCCGAAGAGGAGGACGTGCTCGTACTGAAGAAAAGTAACTTCGAGGAGGCGCTCAAAACTTACCCAAATATCCTTGTTGAGTTTTGTAAGTAGTCGCCAACGTTGTTTGGCTTGTCGTTGCTGTGTTTATGTCGATAGCTTGTGCATGAGGAAAATGCCAAACGAAACCAACTCTCAGTGAAATGGCAGTTTGTTTTTCATTCTTCGTCTTGATTTGCTGCAGCAATACTTAATCTCATGCAGTCGTGACTTAAGTAACAGACATGTGCTAACCAAATCTGAATTATTAAAAAAAAAAAAAGAACGCAATTTTGTAAGCGTTCAGAGAAGTGGTCCCAATGTAGTGATTTGAAGACGTCTTTGCCACTAACGTTAGCTTCAAAACGCTCTATTTTGACAAAACAATAGTACAGTGAATCCTTTTACTGATAATGCATTCGATTCAAGTTGGTAGATTATTACATTTGTCACAAGTTTACAATGCTGAATGAAATATTTTCCCTATTGCCATGTAAATTAAACAAAGCATTTGTTTTCCTTAGCTGACAATTCTTTGTTAACCAAACAGAGCTAGTGTTACTTCCTGTTACTAACACCTCTAAGCCAACAAGATCTCACCATACAGTTTGCTGATAATTACTCTGTAAATTTGTGAATGTTTCTCTAGAGCAGAAAACCGTCTGAAAAACAGTCAGCTTACATGCGTAATATTGTTTCATTGTCATTGTAAAGTTAGCTATATATCAAAGTTAGTGGGGTCACAGCAATTCTTGATAATAGCAACAGAAGAAAAAAAATAGTCCTGGTCTATCATCATCATTTATTTCAGGGAAACCAGTTTTGAGGAAACTGAATTCCAGTTGCAAAGAGCCTGCACTGTGTTTTCTGTTTGTGGTCTTAAAATACCTTTCTTTCTTTCTTTCTTTTTAGGTTTATGGCATGACATCACTGACTGATTGTGACATCACTGAATTTATTAAATGCATAAGCTATAAAGTTATCTATCTCTTCTCAAATCAGACTGTGTGAGATATTATATGCTATTATTATTTTAATTTGCAAATCATGCTTATTTTATCAAGATATGATAATAACATACTGAGGTTAATGCATTTGGAGTTTTATCACAAGACTTCTACAAACTATTTCAAAGGTCTATATCATATAATGTGTGATGCAAACCAACTGAACATAACACACTATATGATCCATAGTGTATAAGTGATAGTGGGCCATTTCCTGTATCAGTTCATTCTTTTATCCACTGTTTGGCACAATCAACAGCATGCAAATCTTTAGTCTATGTGTTGGCACGACAGTATATAAGATTCTCTTCTTATCTCACCTTTCATATAACGACAAATCTCTAAAGCGGGATTTTGCAAATTTAGGTGCATTGACTACTTTAATCTTGACTGTTGTGTTATACAATAAGCCCATGCATTTTAATTCTTGATTTGATAAAGTTGTAGTAAAATGACCATGGTTACTAAACGGATAGGATAGTATTTTGAGTTAGGGTGTTTCCTTAATACAGCCTCAAACATGCAAAGAAACCCTAAATAGAAATTACGGATCCTACTATTGTTCAGGGATTGGCACATGAATATTAAATAGAATATGCTCGCGTTCGTTCCTGGGTGTTCAGTCACGCAGTCAAATTAATATTAATAAGCCCAGTTAATTCGCCAGTTGACAGGCCATCACGTAGCGACGTCTGCCTTTCGCAGACAGTGCTAGAGGCGGAACGTCACGTTGCGTTGCGTAAATAATAGTCATGAGCCAAGCATTCGCCGTAGTAGGATTTGTAAATTCGTATTCGAGACTGGCAGATTCACTTCCAGGTGCTAGGAGACGCGCGGTCCACTCACAATTCAACACGAACTGCCTTCAGCCTCATAAATGCGCATGCGCAGCAGCGCTGTCCTCTCTGTTTCCTGCACACACTGCCACGTTATTAGCGGCAGACACAACATTCAAGCGATACTTCAGACTGTTAAAGGTGAAAGACGACCCGCCGGGCTAACAGTCTCCCCGGTTTCCATCACTGTTTTAGCAATAGTTGACTCGTTTGGAGGTGATCCGAGATGCTGAAGTTGTTGATTGTGTGCGCACTGGCCGCTATGAGCGCGGCTGATATCGCTGAGGAGGAGGACGTGCTCGTACTGAAGAAAAGTAACTTCGAGGAGGCGCTCAAAACTTACCCAAATATCCTTGTTGAGTTTTGTAAGTAGTCGCCAACGTTGTTTGGCTTGTCGTTGCTGTGTTTATGTCGATAGCTTGTGCATGAGGAAAATGCCAAACGAAACCAACTCTCAGTGAAATGGCAGTTTGTTTTTCATTCTTCGTCTTGATTTGCTGCAGCAATACTTAATCTCATGCAGTCGTGACTTAAGTAACAGACATGTGCTAACCAAATATGAATTATTAAAAAAAAAAAAAGAACGCAATTTTGTAAGCGTTCAGAGAAGTGGTCCCAATGTAGTGATTTGAAGACGTCTTTGCCACTAACGTTAGCTTCAAAACGCTCTATTTTGACAAAACAATAGTACAGTGAATCCTTTTACTGATAATGCATTCGATTCAAGTTGGTAGATTTGTGAGTCCGTATTTAGAGCGACAGCAGCCTTGGAACGGTAGCTCTGAGTTGCTTCAGTGTTTAAAATAGATAAACAAATGCAAAGCATTGATTTGCACTTTCACTTGTTTTTCGATTTCCGAGTGCGTTGTTTTTCGGTTTCACCACTTAATGCAAATGAGATGCAGCATGTTATGGGCACGCATGAATGAGTTTCCAACCTGAAAAGACTTCTCAAACTTGTGTGTAACCGGGCTCTTGGGTTAGTTTATTTGCGCTTTACTGGGCTAAATTCATTGGACGCTCTCAAAGTATTTCCTGGTACAGGGACCTGATAGACTCTCAAGTTGGCCAATCACTGGCGTCCACGAGTGTTTCGTCATAATGAGAGACGTGACAGCGTCTAATATGGGCAGGACATTCAAGCGGCCCTGCGCTAGGTTGACGTGTACATTCAGTAAAAGAACTTTTGATGCACATTGAATTTGTGGAATTTAAAAACACTTCTCATGTGAACAATGTAATCAAAGCGTAAACTGTAGTCATTCATTAGTGTTTTTATTTGGTAAAGATTGTAAAAGGAGTATGATGCATATGTGGATTTTTATTAGCTCTATGAACTTTGGACTTTACTCTAATAACATGCCATGTTGTGAGATGATGTGTTGAGGAAGATTAGGGTAATAAGTTTGACCTACTTATTTAATTTATCCAATTTTACTGGGTTTGAATACCCAAATAAAACAACATGCTTTTTAGTCAAACACCATTAAAGGTGACTGACTTATGAAAATCTGACTTTTCTAGGTTTTAAGTGCTATAATCAGGACCCCGGTGCATCTACCAATCAAGGAAATGTGAAAAATATTAACTCAGTAACTTTGTTTTGATAAGCTTTTTTTCTGCAAGTGTCTGAAAAAAGGAGCAAGTCTGATCTCGCTCCCCTAGTGACGTTGCAAAGGGATCTCATTATAATATTACCGCCCCTTAATCTGTAAGTTTCCACCCACAGCGCGTCATTTTGATTTCACAAGCGACAACGGTGTACCAGTTCTAATGCCATGGCGAAAGTTTGAGTAAAACATGCTACATGTTCTGGCTTTGGCTGCATAGACAAGCACTGAACACTATTTAGATTCCCAGCCTCAGAGGAAACAACAGAGCTGTGGATTTTATTAATTTACTGTATATTGCTGCTGCCACACAGATCTAAAATAAACACTGTTTTTGGAACTTATGCGTGTTTTTAACGTAAACTTGTGTGTGAATGAGAACTTAGTTTAGTACTCGCATGCTAGCCACAGCCACTTTCTGTCCGTGTGCTTTCGATGTGTGCACTCAGAAAACCGTATATCAGAAGTTTAAACTAATATGGTTTAAAATGCATGATTTCAGCGCGATAATCAGAACCAAAACAGATGTTTTTAGCAGGTAATGGTGCAGCTCTATTCTGGAAAAGGGGGCGGGGAGCAGCAGCTCATTTGCATTTAAAGAGACATGCTCTAATACAGCGTGTTTCTGCATCCACTCAAAATGATATAATAAATGATTTGTGGGGTATTTTGAGCTAAAACGTCAGTTACATTCTGGGGACCCCTGAGACTTCTATTACATATTGTAAAAAGGGGTATTATGTCACCTTTAACACATTCATTCAGACAAATTACTGCTAATGTGGTTTGTGAGTAAATGAATGTTATTGACTTTAAATGCAGTGGCCGTAAATGTCAGATTTATTCAATTAAAATTTTTTTGCTTATTGCAGATGCACCTTGGTGTGGGCACTGCAAGGCCCTGGTCCCCGAATATGCTAAAGCAGCAGGTATGCTGAAAGCTGAAGGCACAGACATCAGACTTGCTAAGGTGGATGCAACAGAGGAATCTGAGCTTGCTCAGGAGTTTGGTGTTCGTGGATATCCCACCATCAAGTTCTTCAAGGGAGGAGAGAAGGAGAACCCCAAGGAGTATTCTGGTGAGAGATATCAGCCGCAATTTTCCTACATAATATCCATGATCCTTCTTTGTGTATGGACTACTACTAGACAGCTCTAGAAAGCTCTTCAGCTTTTGACTTGTACTTTTGTGTGTAAAAAAACCCCAAAAAAAACATACCATGATTAACAAAATCATTATCATTTTAAACAAAACCGGATAGAAGGAAGTCAGTGAGTGTACAAACAGTTCTAACTGGTTTGTTTTGGTTGGAATCGCTTAAGTGTAACTGAGCTGTATTTATGCCATCTTATACTGTAAACCATATTTCAGTTTAGACAGGTCAGTAGTCTGCATACCATGAATGTAAGTGCTAACTGCTGAAGACGTGCATGTCATTCTGTACGTGGAAGCCCTGCCTTCCAGGCTGTTTGTATAAGGCCCCTTCCCCCTTTCCTTCAACGTGCAGTTCCTCACGATGCCTGTGGTCTGGTTGCTGTAGGCTGCTCTCCATGGCTGTGTTTATTACTGTCGTGCTCCTGCAAACCAGACCAGCCTCAGCAAATGTAAGTTCCAGGACTTTCAAGAGTCTTAAGGTCTAAAAAAAAAAAAAGAGAGAATTTCCACACACTTTTCAGATTCCTTGTGGGATTACAGAAAACACAATTCCAGATTTTTAATCTTTGTCTTATCCTCGATGGAAGGACTCTATCAGGGCGTAAGGTGTTCTCATAAGAACTCATATGAACTGCAGTTTAATTGTTGACGTGTCGCATAAGTAGTTCCTGCTGTAACCTGTGTTGCTCACTCTTCACTCGTTTAAAAAGTACATAATTAGGACTACCTTTGAAACTGTGACATGTCATTCGCATTGATGTGTCAGTCCTGCCCTGTAGTCATAAATGATCATAGATGGATGAGGATACATGGAAGGAGCACTTGAGCTACATTTAATCTGTATTTAATAGTTTTATATAATAAATGTTTGTTTGTTTGTTTCATTTTTTTGTTTAATTATCAGTGTATTATTTCTGTAGCTCAAACAGTAGAACAAGGAATTAGAACACCAAGGTCGCATGCTGATTTCCAAATGAATGCATGAACTGATCAAATATATGCCTGAAATGCAGTGAAGGTGCTTTGCAAAAAAAAAAAAATGTGCCAAATGTGTAAATGTAGCACATCTCCTATAGTCAAGTCACCTTTATTTATATAGCGCTTTTAACAATACAGATTGTGTCAAAGCAACTGAACAGCATTAATTAGGAAAATAGTGTCAATAATGCAAAATGACAATAGTAAACACAAATTTTTCAGTTAAAGCTATAGTTGCTATGACACTTTTTTTTTTCTTCTTTTTTTCTCTATGCATGTACAAGAGTTTGCTTGATACCACCAGGTTCTTTTGTCCCACTATGACATGCTCATGCTCTGTCTACAGCTGGCCGACAGGCTGATGACATTGTCAACTGGCTGAAAAAGCGAACTGGCCCTGCAGCCACTACTTTAAGTGATGTGACACAGGCAGAGTCTCTTATTGCTGATAATGAGGTTGCAGTCATTGGATTCTTTAAGGTAAATGTCATTCTTTTCGTCAGCTAGTTTAGTTTGGGGTGTTTTTTAAATAATATTTAAAAAACACCCCAAACTAAACTAACTATACTTATAATATAATATAATTATTGTTGTTTTTTTTCTTAATTTTTTCTGTCTCTGCAGGATGTTGAATCAGAAGATGCCAAGGCCTTCATTAAAACCGCAGAGGCTGTGGATGACATCCCCTTTGGCATCACCTCAGATGATGCAGTCATTTCAAAGTTTGAAGTTGCCAAGGATGGTGTTGTTCTTTTTAAGAAGGTACATATGTTCTCTACTGTGTAACTCTTCTGACTAAATTTCAGACGACTTCTTAATATTTGCATATAACGTGTTATTAATGGGTAGTAGCTTGGAGTGTGACGAGATCTCATGCTACAAAATTGTGATATTAAAACATAACAATATTTCTCAAGGTGAAAAGCTGTTCCAAACAATGCCACAGCAGAACTGTTGTGCATATCTGATCAACACAGCGGTGTTTTGTTACTGAATGAATCAAGTGAGCCAATGATTTAGTGAGCCATTCATAAAGAGTCACTTGCTTTGTTCCTGAATCAATCCGTTTGAACAAAGGTTGAATGAATGACTGAGTAACTTGTAGATTAAGTCAGTGAATAGCTGCCAACTACTGGAGTTTTTTTTTTTTAAGCATTTCATATTTCAATATAATTTTTTTTTAAATGCACATTTTTTTAACATTATTCAGTGTTGAATCAAAAATTCAAAATATTTCTAAAGCTGCTTTTTGTACTGTATTTAATTCTTTACTTGTCTAATTCAATGATTTTAAATGATCTTTTGGGGTGTAATTTGTCAGCCAAAATTGATGTGCGATTAATTTGCAGTTAATTTAATTAATTGGCATTACATGTAATTAATTCCATATTAAAAAACAGGACTATCAAGTGATTACTTTTATTTTTTTAGTTACATTTGTGTAAATGAGTTCAGTTAGAAGGTCACTGCTTCAATCAGAAGTTAGAAGCTTATGCATGGTTCATGCACAGTTATAAGGTCTGACAAAACTCGTGTGAAATCATACAGGAGGGAAGCCAGTCAGTGTTTGGATATTGGTCTTTTACTGTATCTGATGATTCATGCACAAAGTAGAACTGAAGTGACTTTCATTGCAAGGTAATTTTCAAAATCCGCCAGCGTTGTTTTGTGTGACTTTCAGTCAGATAAAAGACGATTTCTTAAAAATAGTGTTAACTCTTGTCTCGTGAGCTAAGTGTATTGTCACATACCTATTAGTAGCAGGGTTGCCATGTCCCAGGCTCGAATGGTGGCCCGGAAAGTGAGTGTGATTTTCAAAAGTGGGGCCCTCGATGTTGGTTCTGTACCAAGCCCAAGAATTGTTGTTTGCGGCCCTGGGTAGTTGTATTAAACTATATAGTACTATTTGACATCACAAGGGATCAAAACAATCACAGGCTTTTTCATCTTTCCTGAATTAAACTCGCAAGGAGGTGATAACATTGTCAACTCAATATCAGGCTCTTGAGGCTATTTAGATTATGTAATCCATAAGAGTCCATACTTTTTCATGTCCTCAGTGCAGCCATAGTAACATGATCCTGCTGCACTTGTGATAGTCTCATCTGGCAACACTGCTGTTGCTATTATTGGTCTTTGCTCGACCATGAAATGTATTTGGTTTGCTGGTTCTTGCTGGTTCAAGCAGACCACAGATCTCCCCCTTGACCTTTGAATCGGGGTGCTCCGATTGATCGGCTACCGATCACTATCGGCCGATAATCACGTTGGGATGTTTGATCGGTGGTCTCTAAGAAGGCATGCACAATCGAGGCAGTGTCACATCGTCACTAAAGTTTATAAATTGCATTACTTTTTAATTCTTGCCGGTGTTTAATCATTCAGCGCTCGCGTGCTCTCCTGGAGACTGTGCGCGCTCATGCACACTCGCAGCGCACGCACATAATGCCAAGTTCACATTATTCCGTTTGCAGTGCATACATGGTGCGTATTTTTTCCGCGCTCCTGTTAACTGATTAAAGCGTTCACACTGCACACGGTTGCGGTCCGGCAGTGCGTTCAGTAGCGGTGCGTCTGCAGCAGTGCAGAGATCGTTTCCGTACCGAGTCTGTTTGCTGCGCTTCAAGCGCTGAGCATGGCTTTTTGGCTAGGTTTAAAGGGAAAGAGCACTTTTAGATAGAAGGCAATAATAGATGGCACTCGTGGAGGTAGGAAAACAAAGTTCTTTATGAACGTGAAAGATTGTATTACTGTACTTTGTAAAAAAAGAATTGCAATGCTGAAAAAGCATTTTCAGTGACAATTTTGGGATTTGAAACCAAAATAATGGATAAATGTTGTTTGTGGTAAATGGCCACGGATCAGTAGCAGACTCCTGTGTGAAAGCTGCTTCCCCTCTCACAAGAGTCACCTAAGAGGGGAATTCCCCC